AAAAGAAAAAAAAAAAAAAAAGAGGAAAATAGCAAAACCCGAACCCGACCCGAACCCGACCCGAAATAACCGGGTACCCGGTTATCTCGGGTCGGGTTTGGGTAATTTTGTTTTTGCAAAAAACCCGAATAATCCGACCCGACCCGAATGCCCACCCCTAACCATATGCTATAGCTGATAAATTATTTTGGAGTAGGGGTGAGCATAAAAACAAAGAAACCGAAAAACCGAACCGAAAACCGAAAAAACCGAGCCGATATACATCGTCCCGACTTCAGATTGCATGCACGGTAAATATTGGGTGACCGGACGAAACGGGGTCGGTGTGTGTGAGAGAGAATTTTTTTTTTGCCGAACCGATTTACCGAACCGAACCGATTTGGGAATACAAAACGATGTCGTTTGATAGATAGTAAAAATCGGTAAGTTTTTTTTGGTAATCAATGTGGCCATATTCAATCGATCAAAAAAAATATGGCCATATTCAGATACTTAATCTTTTGATGTAGTTGGATTTCTTTTGTGTTAGGGCAACAGGTTTATTTTTTTCAAGATGACATTAATGACATCAGGTTTATTAGTTGTAGTTTATTAGTTGTAGTCTCATTCTGTTTTTTTCTTGCAGCAGTTTTTTTATTTTTTTTTATTTTTAAATGGTAGTAAATTTGTTTTATTAGTTAATTTTGGATTGTTAACTTGTTAATTTTCTCAAAGAAATGTGATGGAAGTCCAAATTCACCGTTAATCAAGCATCGGTTTTATATGAACCGATTCAAATTGATAACGAAACCGAAACCGAAAATAAACCGAATTGATATCGATACCGTTCACCGAAAACCAAAAAACCGATTAGTACCGAACCGAAAAAAAACCGACATACACGGTTTTAAAATATGAAAAACCAATATTATCGGTACGTGTTTGGTTTATCGCAAAAACCGAATCGTACCGACCCGTGCACACCCCTATTTTGGAGTGCATTTGAATTATTGAATATAATGATTTGGATTTGAGGAGAGAATTTGGATAGAATTTTAATTTGAAATTTATCTTAATGACTCAGAAAGTTATTTAAATTAAAAACTTCTTTTAGTTTTACTTCTTAAAACTAAATTAAAAATTTCGAGACTCCCATACATTATTTGATTGGTGTAGTAAAAAAAGTCTCCAATACAATAAAAATAAATATTAGGGATTATTTTGTACACTCCCTCATTTTCAAATTATATAGAACTAACTACCAAGTGAATTACACTTCAGGGGATACCCCTCATTTCGAAAATATTTTGACATACCCTCCTGGGCCACCCTAAAGTTCCTATAATACCCTTCAAAATCAGTTTTAAATCCTAACCAACACATTTCGGTCTCTCTCTTCCTCTCCCAGATTCAAAATCCTCCCGCCTCTACACACCTCCCACCGGCGAAATTGCTTCCCGGAGTCATAACTCCCTCTCCGGTGGTCGGAATTCGATGGTTTAACTACCGTTGGATTCCTCTCGTCGAGCTCTTTCTTTTGGTGGTGATTTCATTCAGTTTGGAGCGCTGATCTGTTTCTGCAAGTTTTTTTCATTCGACGACGGTGGTCTTGCTGGAACTTTCTTTTGTGTTCCACCCGTCGAAATTTGACGGGCTACCCACCGTTGGATTTCTCTCGTCGAGATCTATATTTTGATGGTAATTTCGTTTATTTTTATGTTTTCAAATTTATTTCTATATTTTTTTTCATTTGTGGGCGTGCGGCACCGTGGGCGGTTATTAGCGGCGTCTAGGGTTTTGGTAGGAGGCGAGGGGGGTGAGGAGTCACTGTCTATTTGATTTAGAATCTGTAGCATTTCCCAGCAATAACCTCTCTCTCTATCTCTCGATCCCTTAGTGTTTGTTGATTTTTGAGTGTTTTGATGTTTTTTCAAATTTTGTTGATTTGCGCTAAAGTAATTTTTTTTTTTTTGATTTTGCAATTGCAGCTTAATGAAGGCCATTGATCCTTTCCTTGAAGGTGTCAAAATTTTTGTTTGAAGTTACATATGCATATATTTGTGTATTTTCGATTTGTATTTTATTGGTTCTGAGTTGATTTATAATAAAAATATTGAAATTTGTAAATTTTTGTTGGGGTTTTATGAATTTCTTTTGTATAAGCCAATATTCGTGTGTGTATACAATTGATCGATTAAAAATATGGGGAAAAAAACGAATATAACTACGAATTACTATAGGTACTATAGTTACATGTAGTTATTTTCAGTACAGTAAACATATTGTTTTGAAAATTAAAAATTAAAAATTTAAAAAAAATAAAAAAAATTTAAAAAAAATAAAAAAATTAAAAAAATTAAAATATATATATATATATATATATATATATATATATATATATATATATATAAATTTAACAAAGAGGTTTATTATAAAAAAAAAAGGAAATAATAATAAATAAATCAGCGCAAATGATAAATGCAGGATCAGAAATGTTGAATGCAGTTTGGCCAAAAAATGAATATAAGGGTAGTATAGTACTTTCGCTTCTCCAAAGGTATGTCAAATGATGATTTGGGCTTGAGTTTATTCGGAGTTTATTTGGTGGCTAGGGGTATGTAAAATAACCCCTAAATATTATTTTCTTTCAAATTAAAAAAATCCACGTTGTTCGAGGTGATATTCAAGAGTGTGATACAAAGGCCTCAAACGGTATCAAATATGAAATATCAAATCGAGCTTGAAGATGATTGAATGATTAATGGGTGGTTATAAAGTCATGCACATTTTACAACTTACACTTTATTATTATTATTATTATTATTATTTTTTTTTTTTATCTTTTTACATTTTTGTTTTTACCAAACTCATTGGATTTCTAACAAAATTTAAAACTCAATATTCAATTCAAAAAATTCAAATATTCAACTATTTTCAGGATGGATTTAAACGATAACCCGCCAGAGGTAACGTTTTCGCCTTTCTTTTCTTTTTTTGTTTTGGCTTTTTTTTTGAATATTTAACTTTTGAGTCAAATATTTTTTTTTTTTGATATTCTTAAATCAATTTTTTATTATTTCCAAAATTATTATTATTATAGTTTATTATTTTTCGAATTTATTACTTTAGTGGACGGTTTTTTGAATTTAATGGATAAATATTTTTTTTTATCACATGTTTAATTATTCCACTAACCCACTAACTCCCTATTTTTCCTAGTATGCTTATTTGGTGCAGGATATGAAGCAGTCCTGAAGCTCTTGGACTCTATAAACAAAAGAAGATCCCAGTTTATTTCTCACCATTTCTGAAGAGAGTTGAGAGCACAGAGTTTCGGGTGTTGGAACATCTGAGCAACACCTTGTTTTGTTTATAGATTTCTCACTACATAATTGAGTATGTTTTGTATCCAATATCATTAAATATTGGTTTGTATTCCTAGAGTGCTGCTAAGTAATATTTCTAGGAATTGGTTTACGAAAAAATCAACCTCTGATTTCTTCTTAGAAGAGAAAATCTGGTCTGCTCATATGTATTCCTTTGAATAATGTTTTTCACCTGTGAAGGCACTATCCACAAGTTATATACTTATGGATAATGATTTAAAACTTGTGCTGTTTAAATTCCGCTTCAAAACTATTCGTTACACAAGTTTTTGTTTATCTTGTTTAAAGATCTCCGATTTTATACAAGTTGTATTTAAATTACACAAATTCGGAGGCATTGAATTCTTTCAATCTTCATGTGTTCGTGTAGTATTACACGAACACTTGCCAAGTGTTCGTGTAAAAATACATGAACACATGATTCTTTTTTTTGTGAGTTCCTGTGCTTTCACACAAAAGACACTTGTTTCTGTTCGCGTAATTGACGCGAACTCTTACAATGTTCTTGTTTGAATTCACATGAACTCTTAATTATTATTTTTAATTTTTTTTAGTTCTTAGTTTAATAATTTTTAATTATATTTATCTTAAAGTAGGACGTATACATAAATGTTGATGAAAATAAGGAAACATTCGATTTCATGATTACAGTTAATATTTCAATATTTCGATTGCGTTTGATAGTAAAGATGCAATAGTTGAGTGGACGACGAATACGGCCGTTAGTGACGGTC